TAGAAGCTTTCCTCTTGCCGGCAAAATGCTGACTGTGTGCAGACAGGAAGTGGCATCTGCACCTGCTCTGTCCACTCACTCCATGATTCCCTAGTGGTCTCTGGGATTGAAAAATCTCCTATGCCTCTCCTAAAACACCTGTGCAATGCTTCTTAAATGCCCGAAAAATGCTATAGGAGCCTTGACTGAGTGTTTAAGGGGCATTTCAATATACTTCTATAGAGGCATTTGTCCAGTGGCAATGCCTCCAGAATGTGTCATGAACTGTTTTTTATAACACATGGCAACACAACACTAATGCCCATATGTGAACTGGGCGGTTGCTATCGCATTATCCCTCATGAGCGTTAATAGGCAGCAGAGAGGCTTTAAAAATGCTTCTCTAATGCCCGATTTTAACACACATGTGAAAGAGGCCTTAGTGCACATTTTGTAAATAATATGAGGTAAAGGCCTAGGCTTCTTTATCTCATAGACATTGCCTACAATGAATATTTAAGTATTCTTAAAACTTGCATGGTGCAAATGAACACAGGTTATGATGTGCAGCTACACGTTTTGTACAATGCCTTCTAAATACTTTGTAAGGCAGACTAACACTTTCATTACAAATAGATAGCAGATTAGTTGTAAACAGCAGGAGGCCACCCTTCAATTTTAGAGGAATTACATCTGACAATTATTCTACCCCAACATTATAGAAACTTGCAGTTGAAGGGAAAAAAAAGAAGAATGAAAATTACAGCAAAAGGAAAACAAAATGCAACTAGGGTGTTAAGCCAAAAAAAAAAATCCTAAATGCCAAAACACGAGAAAATATATGATGTACGGTAGTCACGAGCAGTACCTAGGGCACACTACTAGTATACTCCTAAATATGGATTACACTTTGCCAGAATTTTGCCAGTTAATGGCAAAAATAGGGACATTAAGCATGCCACCTTCAGGGTAAATTGAAAGCAAGGTTAAAAAAAACATCAGCGTGTGCTCAGCGCACATGCTTGGCATGCTGAGGGGATGTAACTCCTGTTAGTGTTAAAGTTATTTTAAAAGTTGATACCTGGGAAATATCCTATTAAACACATTTAGTCTTGTTGCGTTCAGGACTGGGATGTCTAGTACTATACATGCGTATGTATAGAAATTTTCAAGTGAAACAATAAGATCTAGTGTTTGCACTTATTGACCCAGTCCCTGAAAGGGGCCAAACTCCCATAAATACAGAAGGTGTCCGAGTTGATATTCACTTTTCACTATGAATGTGCTTTAATGGAGAAATATATTTTTAATTATGTAATAAAATAAATGAAAAATATATAAATGCGTATGAGGGTACCATAAAAGTCTGACATCATGATTTTCCAACCACTTTAATTGGTAAATTACAGATGTAGGTACCTGCCCACCTTGAGAAATATCCTTGAATACTTTATCACAGAAGAAAGAGGTAGATATTATAGCTTGTGTGTATGAGGGCCGCTCATACTGCACAAAGACCAATAAACCATATGGCTTTATGCATACGGGCAGAAAAAAACACACCTTTAAATGCCTGTCATGCGTTTACATGTGTAGGAGCATTTTAGATTCAGTCTAACCTTGATATGTATATACAGATAAAGTTTGTTTATTCAAGACTGAAGGACTTGAAGGAAAGAACTCTAATAAGAAAAGAAAAAAAACAAAAACAACCAACCAATAAAACTTAAGAAATAAAATGAAGACACATAAAAGGAATTATACCAAATAGTTGAAGAAAATTAAATAACACCCAGACATTGCGTCTACACAGCAAATGGGTTAGTGCAAATGAGCAATGCTTCTTAATAACATTATCTCTGAAATTACCCAGTGTAATAGAAGCTAATGAGATTTCCCATTTATTTAGAAAAAAAGGAAGCTGGTATTTAACTGGCCAGAACATGTTATTGTCATTTCTGTCAATGGCAATTAAGCACAAGCTTAATATCTGCAAGAATAGGTTCAGGCAGGGAAGAATATACTAATTCCAGATCTCTTAGACCCCTCCTGCTGTTCATCACAAAATTCCTTAATATTCTGCATGTTCGTGTCCTTTTACTCCAACAGGACACAAACTTCATCTGGTTTTAAACACAAGATGCTCATAACCAAATTCTATAAACATCTTAATTTAATCAAAGGAGTGACATCTATTGAAAGTGCATTGACTAATACACTGATTATGCATTGCACAGATTTAAGCAATTTCAGTGCTGCAGCAAATATCTTCCAACAGCCTGATCTGTAGCCATTAGGAAAAAAATAAATAAATGTAAAAACAACCATTTACACTAATACAGCACACTATGCTGACTCATATACATTGTTAAATATGTTTAAACCATTGTACTAAAAAAATACCCCCCTTTCATAGACAAAAAGGTGGTCAAAAAAGTGACTGAACAACCAATTATATATAGAGTTTTAGCCAAATGCGACACCATTACCAAGAATTCCTACTACAATTTTACAACGTTGTCAACCACCTCCTTCCTGTTATCAAAACTGGACCAAGAATTCCTACTAACATTTGGCATTGTTGTCAACCACCTCATATGAATAAAATCTCCACAATGTCTCTCTCAAAAAGATACAGGAAACCACCAAGCTGATTGGTTGCCATGCACAGCTGCTCCAGATTTTGTCTGCTCCAGTTTTGATAAACTCCCCTCATTCTAAATGGTTCTGTAGCAATTCGTAGCGATAGCTATCATCTTACAAATGTGAGATTGAGTGGTGTGGATGTGGGCTGCCTGATTTTAACAGGAAGGAGGTGGTTGACAACGTTGTAAAATTGTAGTAGGAATTCTTGATGATGGTGTTTGCAAATATTGTTGAATTTTTTTTATAACAAAGGAAGCCATTTGGCTAAAAGTCAATATATAATTGGTTGTTCAGTAACTTCTTTGCCCACCCTTTTAAACTGTAGCCATGTGTAATAACACCAGGTGTATTGATTGCACTGATAACACAATCCTCTAAAACCTGGCCAGGAAGCCACTACTCTTAAATGCTTTGCTGGTCACAGACACTCCAACGCCATCATGTACAATGCAGGACCAGCAGACCTGCATTGTACATGGGGACATGATGGTCTACCCATAGCCTGGGAGAGTCAGAGAGTGGAGTAGAGCGCCAGCTGCTGGGGAAGTGAGTAATAAATACATATTGCTGCTTATTCTGTTTCCCCAGACAAAAATGAGCATTAAATCCTTGCAGTGTGGGGACAGCCCCACTGCTAGGGCAATATTTAACTTTACCTCGAGTTCAGATTTATTTATCCTTGAGTAGTATAAATTTAGGTGAACTGATGACTTTGAATTGAAACCTAGCTAGCAATCAAAGAAGATTACAATAAAAAAAAAATAGAACACAACACAAAAGTTTTACATTCTGCTTTGCTGTGCTGCCATTTCATATATTTGATATGCACATTTTTATGCTAAGCTTTAATTATTAAGCAAACAATATTCTAAGTAAACATAAACGTATCTACAATAAAACACAAGATAATATTATAAATGAGAAAATTATGTCAGCATCTTAAACTATAATTAGATCCTCTATATTACGGTCATGAAACAATAAAATTAAACAATATAATTTTAGTACACTGAACTACAGACCTATTTTAGAGAAATCTTACTACAAAACCGTTTATGATTTAAGGAACAAACAATAGGGTGCTATCAAGTCAACAGTCGAGTTAAATAATAATACTGTTTTGAACAAGAAAAAGATTGCAGGAGAGGGTGATGGTGCCCCAGCTTATGAAGTGGTTCCATCCTCTGACCCCTACGTTACTGCTGAGTCTCGTAGTGGCATGGGGTAAGAGGATGAAACTACAGTGCACAGCAGGGAACACAGACATCCAACGATGAAATATTAAATACCAAAGACACTAACAGAGGCTACAGCACTGACACAGAGGAGAGGTATGAGACAAGGGCTGACTGTAAACTACCTTTTCTCTTACAGGGAACTTTAATTTGCAAATATTTAGAAGCTGACATGGTCACTTTAAAGAAATTAAGATTTGATATGTTATAGGTAACATCTACTAATGTTAATTGTGCCTAAGCAGTAGCCTGTAAAAATAAGCTTTGGTCTAGAATTCCTTCAAAAACTACTTCCTGGTATGTGAGGGTGTTTAAGCACAGTGCCTACAATCTCATAGCTGTATATCTGTAGTGTCAGACCTGAGGCACTGCTGCTTGTGACTGCTAGTCTAAGGAAATTTAGACTAAGATTTAGTAAAGTTACTACTGTGCTGCCAATGTTCTACTTGCTGGAGGGTATGACATGAGGAAGCAAAACCCTACTTCGACTATCTCCACATAGAGACACAGTGCACAACAAGGAATTGAGAGCCAGTAATGGGGAAAAATGAGGCAGGAAGAACACGAGCAATACTGATGAATAGTCATTTGCTTTCTGTCTGCCTTTTTTGGGCTCAGATTTCACGGTTCAGCCTCTTTTTATGGCCAACATAACATGGAATGAAAAGAAGATTGGCCTGAAAGTGTATGTATGTATGTATGTATACCTATCACAAAGAGGCAACAGACATATGTGCAATATTTTATGAGGGTAGAATTAAAATACCAATCACATCACAAATATGTATTTAGAAGTACATTAACCTTTATGCAAACTGAAATAGTTGACATTATTGTGAACATTGTAAGACACATTACACTAAATACAGCAGATAATATTATTTAAATTATGAACGGAGGAGTTGTAATGTATGTTTTTTGTACTTTCTGGTGCAATTTTTTTCATACCCCTTTGTTTGTGACATAGGTGATTAAGGAAATGCTTTCATGAAAGAGACCACCTAGAATTCTAGAAGGATATCAAAGGGCTATAATTTTGTACTGATATTGGGCTATTATTTTACCACTCTACGCTTATATTTTTACAACATTTGTGTTTTGCTCATGGTGGGCAAGTGTTTACCATGTTGTATAACTGACCTGCAAATGCTTTTGAAATTCGATCTTTCTTCCATTCCCAAGGCTGGTCATATTCTTCTGGAGGCCGTTCGTCATCTTGTGGCAATCTGGATTCCCGGGGTCTCTGGTCTGACTTTTCACTATCCGAATCTACTCCATTTTCCGATGGTTCATACGGCGTGTCGTATAGGTGTAAAGGTTTACCTGGCAGTTCTTTGGATCCCCTTCTGCGAATTTCTATAAACAAAAAAAGAAAACATTTTACAATTCTAAAAATTTCAGTAAAATTTAGCATAACAAAGTCTAGGAACCACAAGGGCAAGGACTTGTCTTGCAGTCCTGGGTTTATTATGCAGCAGAACAGATTTCTCAGAATGTATTTATACTCCCTCCATTTTTGCAAGGGAGTCTTCTGGTTTTTCCCACAGCCTAAAAACATTCTGGGCGGTTAACCAGCTTCTAAACACTGGCCCAAGTGCATTTACATGTAGCAGTACAAGCTTGGAAATAATATTTTTAAGATCTCCTGGTTAGGGGCCCTAATGTTTTTATCTATTCAGCAGAGTAAGTCAACATGTTTGTGATATATACATATTGAAGAACAACTGAAAACATTTTTTCCAAAATAATAAATAGAAATTCCATCTTTTGCAAAAAAGTTAAATAAAAACTACACATCTTTTCTTTTATGAAGAAGTGTGCATTTATAATTTTTGCATAGGAGCCAGTAAAGCAATGCAATCATGATCCATAGATTGTCGATGCAATGCTCTGGCTCCTGCAGAATCCTCCTACCACCCACATCCATATCGAGGTACCAACATTTAATAACACGGGCAGGTGGAAGTGTCAATGGATTACAAGTGCAGTGACGTCACAATGTGCAATGCATTGTCATGTGGTCATGTTTTATGATACACCCTAAAATATGGGGTTTACCTTTCTGATCATAAAACATGGTCAGAAAGGTAAACTCTTTAAGCCTTTAGGATTAAATGTCTGTTTTTCAGAGACTTAGGACAATAAGGGATGTGCATATGATAAGTGTACTAACAGAGGTTATTTTCATTAACAGCTTGATGCTGAAATGATCAATTAATCCAGAGATAAAGATAGCTGAAATGATATGACAAGGGAAGTATCTACATAGTTGTTTTTCCCAAAGATAAATCAGTTAATTTATACTTTTTAAAACAAAACTGTATTTTTTAAATGAGGAACCACAGTTTAGTGGAGGTTTTGGTTTAAGCTATGCACATGAAAGTGATCATCTTGATGAAATTAAAGCAATCTGTTAGGGTTTGATTTTCATAGCCAATGCCCATTTCCTCCCAAAATACAGCATGCTTACATAGTCTGTTCAGTTCAATGTATTGAAAGCCTATTTTCTATGTAAAGTTTACAGTATGCTGTCTATGTTCATGGAGACAGCAGCCTCTCTGATTCTCTTGTTTCACTGCTGTTCCTCTGCAGTAACAATTAGTAGAGGAGTAGAAACAAACTATATGGTCCTTGCTACCTATAGCTGGATCAGCATTGTAACAGCATTTTTTTTAAACTTAAAATTATAAGGTATTTTGAAAACTTCCATTTGTTGTCTCAGCACAAAGTTGCACCCAGCCTCACTGAACGAGGCAGATTCCATTACTAAATTTCTAAATAAGAAACAAAATTCTATATTTAAAACAGATATTTTTTCAGCATGCATCATATCTACAGGTGAAACTCGAATAATTAGAATATCGTGCAAAAGTAATTGCATTAATTGCTGCAAAAGGGGCCCAAACCAAGTACTGAGTACATATGCATGCTTGTACTTTTCAGAGGTCCGATATTGTTCTATGTACAATCCTTGCTTTATTGATTGCATGTAATAATCTACTTTTTTGAGGTTGTGTATTTGGGGTTCTTGGAGTTTTCATGAGCTGTAAGCCATAATCATCACAATTATAACAAATCACGGCTTGAATTATCTTGCTTTGCATGTAATGAGTCTATCTCATATATTAGTTTCACCTTTTAAGTCGCATTAGTGAAATAAATGAACTTTGCATGATATTCTAATTATTCGAGTTTCACCTGTATATGGAAAAGGGACCTAGTGGAGCCTGCAATACCTGCAATACCTGCAGCAGGTTCTGTGCCCCAGCTCTGCCCGAATTCTGGGCTGTTTTGACTGATCAAAGCTTTGGCCCTTCTAATAGTGTTAATGCTTTTGTGTCCCCTCCTACTTGCATCAATTTCCTATTGCCTAGCGAGGCAGCCCATGATAGCGCTGGGCCAATAGGAATGTATGGGGGCAGAGGGGAGTAGGGTGTGGGTGTTGAAAGGTGCTACAGAAATAGATACTTTGCTACAATGTTGTCAGCAGGATTTAGAAATAAGAGGGATATCTAACAGATAGAGACTGCAGTTAAAAGCCAATAGAAATTAAATTTTTTCTCCACTCTGCAAACTCTTACTGGCACAATAAGTGTTCGCACCACTATATACCAGTTCTCAAACAGAAGAGATCCAGGTCTTCTACACCTATCCATTCACAAAACAATTTGGCTTTTGTGCATGGGTTCACAGAGTGCAAAGCATTCTGTGACTGGGCAAGAAGAAAGAAGGGAGAGGAAAATTATGCAAAAGCTGCAGTGTAGGAGACCTGAAGGTTTAGTGTGGCAGGGCACCAGTAGTATAGTGATAGCTATATGATGAATAAATCACAGCTCTAAAAATAAATTATATGTGCGCACCCTGCCCTGTGCTAAAAATTTATGAAAACAAGAGTTATATTTCCCTATAGGAAAATATGTGAACACAAATATACAAGAATACAAAAAGGCACTTTTCACATTTTTATTAACCTATTTATATATGCTCAGCCAGAAATTCTACAGAGTCATGTCCTCATATGCAAGCTTAATGTGTAGGTGGGTGCTATAACCAAAGAGTTCCCATTAAAGGAGAACTATGGGATCAGTGGTTTTCCCCATAAGTTCTCCTCAGGGTCACGGGAGGACATAAACTAGTGCCCTCCCGTGACCCAAAGCTCAGTATACTGCGAGCTACAGCTCGCGGTATAATGAGACCACTGAGGCTGGGACGGATCCCGACATTAGTCGAGATCCACCCAGCTACATAATTGACAGTTGGCTCTGCCTATCTAGAGGCAGAGCCAGCTGTACCGGCCCCCTCCCAGTCCGTTCCTCCTGTCAGCACTGGAGGATTGGACAGGGGAGGGATCTCTGCAGGGAGCCTTGAGTGACAGTCACGGCTCTCTGCAGGGACAGGATCGAGAAGTGAGACAGTGACGGTATGCTTTTGCTCACTTCCCGATCTATTGAGCTGACATGTGACAGATTCATTGTCACACTTCGGCTCGAACTATGAGGTTGAGTGAAAATCACTCACCTCATAGTTCTCCTTTAAGAGCAAGTCCATTTTTTTTCATAAAGTGTTGCATTTCTGAAATTATAATGGAGTTTTATTACAGACAGATTGATACAAAAGATATTCACACTGCTTTCCTAAATACAACAGGGACAATTTACTCCCTACAATCTACTCCCTTTTCCAAGCCCCCAGGCCAGATAACTCGGCAAAACATTTCAAACGTGTACTTCCCATGTTATGGGTTTTTTGTTTTTTTTACCCTCGCAAAAAATTATAGAAAGGAAAAAACATTATGCATATTTAAAGATACAATAATAAATACCACTTGGGATGTATCTTTTAAGGTTACAGAAACACAATACGTTCTTGATGGTTGAACGAAGTCAATAGCGATGCTAAATTGGTTGTTTATGAAAAGCTAAAGCAATTGTTCACAGTAAAACCCTACAACTGTGAAGACAGCTTAAGAATGGAATGAACCTGAGAGACCTGCAGTGCAAATCTATATACGCAGCGGTGTTCTAAAGAATGGTGCTCTGATTCAGGAGTTAATTTTTTACCTACACTAATTCCTAGCAGCACGCTTTACAGCAGCGCTGGAATACAGCCAACGATGATCTGTGCGCCTTTCCAAACACGCGTTAATCACTGAATGCTAGGTATTGTCCTTTGCTGCTTAAAACCAAAACATCAATAATGACAGAACTGCTCTGGCAATCAGTCACATCTTGTAACACAAATGTGTGCTTAGATTTTCTCCCATGCCAGTGATGTATAAACTGGCTATGAGCATGGTAGATCAATATTATTATGAGTTGATCCATCTTCCTCAGCTGCTGTAATACAGCTCTATTTCCAGTCTATACTTAAAAAAAAAAAGCATTAGGGATAAGGAACAAACTAAACAACGGAAAGGAGTAAACAACTGTATATACACTGCTTCACTGATTCTCAACTATTGCATATTTTGCACTTTTGTCAGCAAACCTCTTGCAAATACCCTTTGAGGTTTATCCATTTCTTTTAAAACTTGTGAACTGCATATTGAGAAACTGTACAGTACAACATTTAAATAGTTTCTGAATAATATTTCTATACAGTAAACTTGCCCCCCCCCAAAAAAAAAACCCCAACCACTCTAAAACAATTTAAAAATGTACACAAAGAATGAGCGCATTACATAATATGCTATCAGGAAGATTATGTGTCCCTTTTAGGAGCATAAATCCCATTTCCAAATGGTCTGCCCATAAGTGTTTGTGCAGGCTAATATGTAGACTTGTAGTAGTGAAAAACTCCTTTTCCAAGGTGCAGATAGTTGAGGTGGGGTAAGACTAGCAATGGATACTAATCAGCCAAACACAGATTCCACCTTCATCCTACCTCTGGGTCCATGTGTACAGTTCACTAGAGAGATTGTGAACACTGCAGCACACTTTCACAGATGTAGCAGTTGAAAACAGAAATGTTATTTTTTTTTAAAACTGCTAACAAGGTCATAATGTATAAAATGCTATTGTTATTTCAGCTAAGTCGACTATGAGGTACTGGCAAGGAATGTGATATTATTAACTATGCATTCCAACTACACTGTTCATGATGCAGCCAAAGATGGGCCTCCTGGGAATCTTGAAGTTTCCCTCTGAAGACCCCAGATTCTCAAAGCATTTGGTGTGTAGGTGGTTGAGCAACCATGCACTTGCAAGCCAATCATTGGTCATATATAATCTCTTCCGAGATCCCAGCACATATATTCCTGACAGAGTCATCGCTCTCTGCAGGGAGAGGATCGTGAAGTCAGCAATTGGCGATATGTGTTGACTGACTTCCCGGTCAATAGAACAGACCTGTGACAGCTTCAGTTTTACAGGCCGGCTTAAATTATGGGTATGAGTGTTTTTCCACTCATCCCATAGTAGTTCTACTTTAAATAAAATCTCATAGCTCACAGATTATTTTAACCAGTTGACATCCGCGGTGTTAAACCCCCTTCCCATCCAGGCCATTTTTTAGTATTCAGTGCTGCGGTACTTTGACTGACATTTATTCCGTCATGCAGCGCTGTACTGAAATGAATTTTATACCCTTTTTTGGGGACAGATAGAGCTTTCTTTTGGTGGTATTTATTCACCACTGGGGTTTTTATTTTTTTACTATATTAAGGAAAAATCACCGAAATTAAAAAAAAAAAACAGTTTCCCCTATATTAAATGATAAAACATTTATTATTACCCAATTTTTTGGTAAAATATAAAAGACGGGGTCACGTCGGGTAAAAAGACACTAAACATGTCAAGCCTTAAAATTGCGTGCGCGCGCGAAACCTCAAAAAACGATAATACCCAAAATTGGCCATAGGCGACGCTTTAAAAGCTGTTACCGCTCATCAGTTTAGTGTTATCAGTGATTGATGGCCCTAAAATGATT